TTTTGCTTTGGAGCTCCTTTTGCTCCCTATTCGGAGCAGTTTGCCCTTTTGGTTGTGGTGGTGCGGGGAGCGGGGGTGTCTCATCCAGTGCAGCTGCTGGATGCCCTCGGTGCCGGGAAACCTCCCCATCTCCAGGCTGATGGTACCTTGACGATGAGCCCCTTGGAGTCCACCATCCAGATCTTCTTGGTGGCCTCTGCCTTGGGGATGCCTTCTTTCTCTAGAGCCATGACGAGGAGGTGCGCGATGCCCATCGCTGCCTGCGAGGCATCATAAAGCAGATGTTCAGACACAAAACAAACAGGTGCTCAGTAGTTCTCATCTCCTCCCCGTTTTCACCAATCCTCCCCCAGAAGCCCAGGTAAGCCCTTGCCGTAAGGCACCCTAATGTTGGCGCCCAGGCAGCTACAATGATCATGGGATCCCTCTGCTGCTCCTGCTTCTCAGAACGCTGGCACACTTTCTCTACCTTGCTATCCCTCCATGCAGTCGGACTTTACTCTCAACAGTATAGCGCCATCTGATGCCACCTACCTCACCCGCACCTTGGAAAACGAACACATGGTTGGAGAGCTTATTCTTGGTGATTCGCAGAGCAGCCAGGATGCCTGCCACAGCTACAGAGGCTGTGCCTGCAATAAAGCGAGCCGGGATCAAACTCTGGCCCCTGGCTCCCACCACCCAGAGGCAACCCTTACCAGGGTTCCCCACACCTAGGACCTGTGAGAGGAAAAGCAACTGTCTTAACCCGTGTAGAAGTCAATCTTGTAGACATGCAGGTCTTGGAGCAAGTCACGCCACCTTTTGCAGATAATTATTGTCCTTATGAGAAACAGCTCCAGGACCCTGGGTGAGAGAGGATCAGTTTCTAGCCAGGTGCTGCCGCCGCCGTAATTCATAAATGACAAGCATATTCAATAGAAGCCAAAAAGAAGTGTGAGCTTCATAGACCTATTTGTTTAAGAGAAAAGTGGATAAAAAAACTATTTAAAATGCACCCCCCCCCCGAAAAAAAAAACCAAACCAAAACAAAACAAAAAATGCAACCCAAACCTATGAGCCATCAAGTGAACACTGTCCATATCCACCGATCCAGAGGCTGGGTGTTCGCTGCATGGTATCATCAAATGACTTGAGTGAATTTCATGAGCACGTGGCTCCGACTCTTCTCCCTTAATCCATATCTAAGGCCTTCTTGAGAATTCTCTGTGAACACGAACTTGGACTACAGATCGTTTTTCACAATATGCTGGCACAAAGGAGAAGTGGATGGTCGCAGCACTACAGCCCCAATCAAAGATGACCCTGAATGACAGTGGTGAGAACGTCCCCGGAGAGATCACTTCAAAGGGTGCATCTGGTGGGCTACGTTTCAGGACCAAAGGATCCACGTTAATTCAAGGGCAGTTGCTCATGGTTTAGCATGACTGTGACGGATCTGGAAGGAACAATGGTAAAGTTGGAAACAAGGACGCACTTCTTGGAACAGGCATAGTATGTGGAGATATTTGTAGCCCATATAAAATCTCACCAAAGGGAATACTGGGAAGAGGCGCTCCATATTCAGGTAGATTAAATGGCCGGCTCTGTACATGTCACTCATCAGCTTTTCCAAGCCACATAATGTTGGCTCAATGGGCTTATGCGCCCAGTTGTCAGAGTGGCAACATATTCATAGGCTCCGCAATAAGGCTTCCATTCATCAACGCTGATCTTGCTATTGTTACTGCTGACTGGTAAAGCACCATCAATGGCAGAGACCAGTACTGAGTGCTGATATGGCCTCGGTCCCCAGGGGGACTGTCAGTTAGAGGCAGGGTGGTTACAGGGGTCTTCTTCTATCATGAACAGGAAGAGA